CATGTAGCTGCAAATGCATCAGTGGATTAACACACTGGTGATCCGATCACCCTCATAATCCGATCACCTCTCCAGGAGTCTCAGAATCCAGCCATGTTTAACAGGAAGAATAATCATTTAGGAATTTCAGTCTCACAAAATAGCCTGTAGCATAACAAGATAAATAAGAAACACAGGTTAAGAGGGATGGAAGCTCAGTTTAGTACAACCAAAATCTTACTAAAAGAAATTCTAGGAAATCAAAGAAAACAAAAAAGAGAAAGTTACCGGAAAACAAATAGTTAGATAGATAAAGATGAAGATAAATAGATAGGTGAAGAAAATAAGGGTCAGTAAGTACTAAATAAGATTCTGTGTCTGAGAAGAACTATCAAAAATGAAGAGAAAGAAACTATCTCTAGAATACTGCAAGTGTTTTGTTTGTCACTAGCAGATCTACCTTACAAGAAGTGCTACAGGGAATCCTTCAGGCTGAAGACACCAGAGAGTAACTCAATTTTACATGGCAAAATAAGAACAGACTTTGCTCAACTGTTGCGGGTGGGGCTTCACAGCCCAGGGAAGATAATCTTTAAATCTGAGTGTTACAAGCTCATGGGGGCGCTGCCCAGCACCCTGGACAGAAATACTTTGCACAAGCACACCGCATCATAAAGGAAGCACTGCAACGCATACTGTATCTGTATTGAAACAAAAGTGTGCAGGACCCTTCCCTGTGGAAATAAAATGAAATCATCTCCCCAGCTGGTACTAAATTCTCAATTTAAATCTTAAGGAGAAAAAAACCATAACAATGCTCAAAAGGTAAGTACATAGGTAAATGTAAAAGGCAATATAAGTATCTTTTTGTTTGAAACTATTTTTCTCTTAATTTATTCCAACAATGAACACCTAAAAAAGTAATTAGAGATCTATGTGAATGGGCAAAAATATATAAAGATGTAAACTGCAACAATAATAGAATAAATCAGGAGAGAGGAACATCTGTATAGAAGCAAAGTTTTATATACAATTGAAATTAAATTGATAATAATTTGAACTAGATCATTAAAAATAAGATAGTAATTGTAATTCCAAGAGCATTACTAAGAAAATAATCCAAAAATATACAAAGAACAAAATAGATTAAAATACTATACAAGAAAATAACCAAAAAAGGCACTAAAACAGAAACAGGAATAAAATAGACAAGAGTATAAAGGAAAAAAATAGAAAAATTCAACCTTATCATGAATTACATTAAATATAAGTAGATAAAACACTCCTGTTAAAAGACAGAGATTAAAAAGATGGCTTAAAAATAATATGATCCATACATATGTTGTTTTAAAGATATGCATTTCAGAGTTAAAGAAGCAAGTAGGTAGAATGTCAAATGATAGAAAAAGTTATACTAAGGAAATAGTAACTACAAAAAAGCTAGAGTGGCTATACTCATCAGACAAAACAGACTTTAAGAAAAATATTGTAATGATAAGGTCAGTAAATGAAGAAGATTAAACACTTATAAATATATTTGCACCTAATAGGGGAAAACCAAAATATAAGAAATAAAACCTGACAGAATTGAAGAGAGAAATAAACAGCTCAACATCCTTAGAGACCTCAGTAATCTGCTTTCAGCAATAGACAGAACAACTAAACAGCATATTTTTAGGAGATTTCACCCAAGTAAAACACACATTCTCCTTAAGTACACAGGGGACATCCTCTAGGATAGACAAAAATGTTAGGATTAAAGAAAATGTCACTCAGACACACACACACTGGAATACTAGCCATAAAGTAGAATGAGACCATGTCAACTGCAGGAAAATAGATGAAACTGAAGATCACTGTAGTAAATAAAATAAGCCAGATTTAGAAAAACTAATCTCACATGTTTTCTCTCAGATGTGAAATCTGGGGTTGGTAGGGAGATGAAAGAAAAAGTGGTACTACTTAAGAAGGGAAGAAAGACCAAGGGAGGTGGGATGGGCAAGAGGGCATAACAGAGAGGGTGAACACTAGCAAACATTATATGCAAGCATGATACTGTCACAGTGGAACCCATTATTTTGTACAATTAATATGCACTAAAAATATTAAAATTTTTAAAAGATTGAAAGCTTAGAAAGCATGTTCTTTGGTCCCAATTGAATGATTCTATAAATCAATAAAGGAACACAATTGGGGAAACACACAAATATGTAGAAATTAAACAATATTCCTATATAAACAATGGGTCAAAGAAGAAATCACAGAGGGGGTCATAGAGTATGTTGAGATTAATTACAAAAAAGACACAATATACCAAAATTTAGTGGATGTAAAGAAAGTAGTATTAAGAGGGAAATCATAGCTATAAATGCCTACATAGAAAAAAATGGTCAAATCAATAGTGAAAGCTTTCACTTTAAGAAATTAGAAAAAAGAGTGAATTAAATGCAATGCAAAAAAGAGAAAAGAATAAAGATTAGAGAAAAATAAAACATTATAAAATAAAAAATTAACAAAGTCAAAAGTTAGCTCTTTGAAAACATCAATAAAATTGACAAGGCTTTTCCTATACTAACCAAGAAGAAAAGAAGACTCAGATTTACTAATATCAGGGATCAAAAACTGCACATTACTATTGACCTCACAAAATAAAAGGGATTGTAAGAGGCCACTACGAACAATTGCATGCCAACAAATGAGATATCCGGAAGAGATGGACAAATTCTGGAAAGACATAAACTACCAAAACTGCCTCACAAAGAAACAAAATCTAAACAGGTCTATAACAAAAATACTAAACTAGTGATTTACAACCTTTCCAGACAGAAAAGTCCAGGCCCAGAAGGCTTCCAGGTATACCATGTTCTACCAAGTGTTTAAAAAAGAATTAACACCAATCTTTCACAACCCTTTACAAAAGTAGAATTAGAAGAAACATTTCCCAATTCATTCTATAAGGACTATATTATCCTGAAAGTAAAACCAAAGACACATCAAGGAAGGAAAGTGATGTGCAAAGTGAAGCTGATTGTGTGCATCAAGATATTGGAAAGAAAATGAACAAATGAGGAGCATATATCTGAAAATCATGTAGCTGGCAAGGGTCTAGTATCCAACTCTTCCAACTCAAGAATGAAAAGACAACATAATTTAAAATTGGGCCAATATTTTAAATAAATATTTATATAGAGATATGGTACACATGGCCATAAGCACATAAAAATGCCCACCATCATTGGTCTTTAGGTAGATGCAAATCAGAACTGCAACAAGATGCCACTTCACTTCCATTAAGATAGCTACTATTAAAAAATGAAAAGTAACAATGATATAGAGAAATTAGAACCACACTAAGTTGCTTGGGTAAATGTAAAATAATACAGCTACTTCAAAAAACAACTTGGAAGTTCCTCAAAATTTTAAACATAGGTCCTGTATAACCCAACAATTCCATTCCTAGATAAACAAAACTAATAGAAAACAAATGGTCACACAGAAACTTGTATATGAATGTTCATAGAAGTTTATTTTAATTGCCAAAACTGAAAGTGACCCAAATGTCTACCAACTAACGAAGGGGCAGCCAAACGTGGTGTGTCCATACCACAGAACATTACATAGCCATAACCAGAAATGAAGATCTGAAACAGGTGACAACATGGAGGAACGCTGAAAACATTAGGCTCAAATGATTACATATTGTGTGATTCCATTTATACTACATGTTCAGAATGGGAACGTCTATGGAGAAGAAAGGTAGACTCAAGGTTATTAGGGGTGAGGTGGGCAGCGGAAGAGAATGTTAATGAATATAAGGTTTCGCTGAGATGATAAAAATGTTCTAAAATGCGCAGGGTGATGGATGCACATACTAAAAACCACTTAACTGTTGAAAATAGTGAGTTTGATGGAAGATGAGTCATATCTTCATTATTTTAAATGTCCAGGTATTTCAATTATGACACATTTTGAGGAAAAGGGGATATTTTGATTCATTTTTACTGGAGAAATTTAAGATAGATTAGAAATATTAAGTGTAAAAAAAAATCACCAAAATTAGATCTTAACATACAAGATGTACTCAGAAACCTTAACATTACAAGACTGGTAACTGAGAATATTAAAATGTAACACTTCTGCATATCAGCATCATAACTTTATTTATTTATTTAGGCAGGGTCTTGCTATATAGTTTAAGTTGACTTTGAACTCACTATACAGCCCTGGCTGGTCTCGAACTTATGGCAATCCTCCTGCCTCAGCCCCCTGAGCACTGGGATTATTGGCATGTACCAGTGCTCAGAAAATATTTGAAATTTCATACGCAAGCTCAGTAGTAATAAGTAAACTGCAAAATAAACCCATCATTAGACAACCCTGTATTCCTATCTTTAAAAGATATTTTATAGAAGTGTAAGTGAAAACTGTGGAGAAATGGGCACTGACATGGAACACCAGGTGCAAGCATAAATTGATACAATCCTTTTTGGGAAGAATTTGCAGTGTATTTCAACATGCACATATTTAAACCTAGGAGTTCCATTTCTAAATAAAACCTTAGAGAAAACTGCGCACATGCACATAAAATGAAATGTAGAAGGATGTTCACGGCAGCCAGGGTACAGCAAAATGCTGGAACCATGTCCATCTGCAGACAAATGGTTAGGAAACTTAGTCCACAGTAGTTCTACTCCATAGCCAACCACCCCTGTCCTAGTTATTAAGGTAATTTCAAGGAAGAAGTTAATTTTCTAAACAATACTTATAGTATGATCCTATTAATAGAAAGCAAATGAAACTGTTTTATATATACCAAAGCATTAACTACCACTACTTTTCATGAAGAGACTAGGTTAGGAAGACTTGAAGGTAACCTCCAAGATTGAATTTATACATCACTGTTTTGTTTGCGTTTTTATAAAAATACAATGTTTACATAAACTTTAAAAGTATGGTTATTATTTATGATATACTACTTAAAGCTATTTTAAATCTTGATTTAATTCAAAGAAAATTCTTACCTTCCAGATTTTCAATTTTTTCAATGTTGTTTAGAGCTAAATTCAAATATTCAAGTTTCTTGAGTTTGCTTACATTTTCTGAAATACACAAATAATGTAATTAACCTTCAAAATACATATTCTATTAAAGATCTTGATATAATCTATTATGAAAATGACAGATGTTAAGGAATATTTTATTGTTATTGAAGTCTTATTGCTCTTTCAAGTTTTTACCTGTATGTGAAACAGGATTGCCCAGGCAACAGCCATTTCTCCCTCCATCTTTCCTGATGGAACCTGGATTTGCTCATGTCTCTACTCAACCCAACTTCAAGGATAGGGTAGGATTATCAAGCAGGATCAGTGCCTAGACATCCAATCTCCCTTGCTAGTGAAGGCTCTGGAACCTAAGCCTAAGCCAACCAGCCCCTAGAAGTCTCCTGGTAGCCATGTGATACCAGGCAGGCAGCACACGCACATTAAGTATCCCAATCACAGGAAGGAAATACCTACATTTACACTTGGTGACATCTTATCTCTTTTTCCTTCTGGATGTTAATAAAGATGGAAGTCTTATCCCTACCAGCACTCACAGTCAACCGTAGGGGAACCAGCTGTCGGATAAATCCCAGGCTGGCTGGTGGAATAGACAGAAGGAATCAATCAATCCTGAAGCCTGCTCTACCTCTAAATTTGGAATTGGGCAAAATAATAGTCTTCCTTATTGTTAAGCCACTTTTGTGTGTGTATGTAAAGCCAAAACAACCTGATAAAGGATTATCTTTTTTGATGAATCTGAATGTTCATACAGAAAAACAAGTATAACCAAGTCAGTCAAAGCATCACTGTGAAGTGGAGCTTTTTAAAAACAGCTAAAAATAAGATAGAGTTAACATTGTCAACTGCTTATTGTATGCCACATGATGTTTTTGTACATATTAATTTGATCCTCACAATAATCTTGTGAAATAAAATCTATTAGTGTCTCCTTTTTACAAATGAGAATACAGTCTAAGTCACAGAGAATCCATCTTCCCAAGGTTAAATGGTAAAGCCAGAATATCCCACTCCAGAGGTTGGCCCTGAATTATTACAGTGTACCTGTACCTTGAAAGAACAGTCCTTTGTTATATGATGTGAAACATAAAGTTTCTGCTAAGAAATGTGTCTTTGGGGTAGTCTCACTTAAATAATGCCTCTCTGCCCATTTCTCAGGGATATTATACATATTAAGCATAATAATTTATAACCATCATTGTTATTGCCATTAACAGCTCATCTAAAATTTACAAAACATTTTTTGTTCCTATATATGTGAGACTAAGAGTTTAGCCCTCAAACCCTCAGTTTTCCCTTTTTTTAAAGTAAGGATCTGGGGAAAGATTAAAGTTTCAAAACTTAAATTATTCAAATAATACTAATGTTTACAAAAGGTTCTTTGGCAACATCTGAGCATTCAGTCGTCAACAGATTTGAAGGTTTCTTTCCGCCAAGAATTATGATAGACAGAATGTCTGGTCTGCATCCTACATGAAAATATTCAAAATTATCAGTGTTAAAACTGCCAGCCCCCAATAAAAACCTGTTCCAAATAGAATTCCCTCTCCCTGCCTTTGCTACATGTGTAGGCCTCTAAATCCTAAAAAGTCATCTGGTAGAAATACGATTTTTTTTTTTTTTTTTTTCTGAAAGAATTGCCTCAATCAACCAAAAAAGCACAGGCCCAAATTGGTCAGAAAGGGGTGAAAAGACTCCTTAAGTAAAAATGTTCAGGTCCTCTGGGACAACAGAAAGGGAGAAGGAGAGCTGTAGCCCACATCTTTCTGGAAGCGGTTGTCACCCGCTGACACAAGCAGGACGCCCTGTTCATAGGGGCCCACATCCTTTCTCAGGGGCAAAAACTCCATGGCCCCCAGCTATGTGAGGCCCCTAGGGAAGGCACGGCAAAGGGGCAGGGGGAGCCCACCCCCACCACACTAACTTCATGCTTTACTGGACCCCAGATGGTCCTTGGCTGACACTTGCATCTCTGCTGAGTGGAGTCTTCCTCCACAGCCCATCTGCACCTCCCAGGGAGCCACAGAGAGCTAGAAAAGGCAACTGTTCTGCAAGCTTCAACCCTAATGGCAGGACAGCAAGTCTGAAGCCTAGAGAAGTACTTTTACTTGCTAAATAAATGCCTAAATGCCTGTGGGTGGTAGAGCACTGAAAAATCCCATTATTAGGATTTAAAAGAGTGTTTAATTTAAGAATACTTTGGAAGCAAAAATTTATGCTTCCTCCCAGCTCTGAAAAAGCCTGAAATACTATGCTACTAATTAGTAATTGTGATGGACCCAGCTGTGGAGATTAAAATTTGGGGAACTCTTTTAGATTTGGACAATTAGGACTGTTCTTCAATGCCCCGTGCATAAAAGCTGGTGGTTTTCTGTAACAGCCTTTTTAATTGAACAATGTGTGAGAGCTTCTAATTTCTGGTAAACTAAAAGATGCTGAAAATAATTATCTGAAGAAATATAGAGTGTTTTATTAAATCTTCAGAAAATGATGCAAATTCAGGCTTGTTGCAATTCTAGAGCAAGCAACCATACCACCCGGGTTTCTCAATCTCAGCACTACTCACATTTGGGGCCCAGTAATTCTTTCTTGTGGGGAGATGTCTGTCCTGCACTGTGGATGATGGTTAGCAGTATTCCTGGCCTCTACCCACTTGATGCCAGTAGCACACACCCCTCACCACACACCCATCTGTGACAATTAATAATGTCCCCAGACATTGCCAAATGCCCCTTTTTGAGGACCACTGTGCATTACCATAGGAAGTTAACCATAACCCTAAGGGTGGACCTCTGGGCTCCAGGACCACAGCACGCAGGCTCTCTGCCTCCACAACTGACTCCAGCCCTTCTTTTCCAACTCTATTCATTCCTCCCTTCTGTTCTTACCTTCCTTTTGCTGGTCTGGGGCACTCTGGGATAATGAGAACATTAATCACAACAGCAGCACCCCAGCTTGAATCTAATGAGCCCTTCTTTCATGGTGAGTACAATGTGAAGCTCATGATTTCCTGTAACCCTTACACCAATTCTGAATGTTATGTACTATCGGCCTTGTTTCATAGATGATAACAGTCAAACTCAGACAAGTTAACTGACTTGTCTAACTTCACACAGCTGATAAGCGGTAGAGTTCACAGCCAGGTCTACCTGATGTCAGAGCCCAAGCTTGCTTTTACAATATCATTCAACTCTACTGTTGCTTTTCCCAGCAACAGCAGTACCCACTTGCTTTTACACAGTAGGACCTCCATTAAAGTGACTCTGCAGTGTTCCCTTCCCTGTGCCTCTTACTTCATTATTATGGGGGTTAGAGGGTTAAAAGTGAGGAAGACCAATTTATCTGATAGGTAAGTTGGGCAAAGAAGTAAATTTGGCATGTCCAGTCCTCTCCCTGAATACTGGGATCTGTGTTTTAGCAAACCACATGGGTTCAGCCCCCTCCTACCACAGACAAGGGTCTATCTGGGTAGGGGGAACTTGTGGTTGTTCTGACTCGGTTTATTATAGGGGTAGTAACAGCAAGCCCACTTGGCTGCAAATCTAAGTCACTTGCTCAGGAAGCTTTATCAGTTATAATTTACTATTGTGATCTTCGCCCGACTCCTGCACTTTACTCTCATTTTCATTCTAAACAAGAACTTCCTCAGTACCTAGTACTGTGCACAATGCCTCGCATGCAAACAATAAAATCAAATGCATGAATTACATCCTCCTCCCTTTCAAACTTTCAAAAGAAACTGGTCAACTAATGTGTTCCTTGCATCAAATTAATCTCCCAGCATCTTGATGGAGATTTTATAGGGCAACAAGACTACTCATTGAATAGTTCAGGGAAATGTTCTAGACACAACTACTGAGAAATGGCTATGTCTGTTTCCCCATATCATCCTTTCTCAGTTATGCTCTCCCTCTAACACTGCATTTTGTGAAGTTCTCCTATACCAGATGTTTAAAAACCCATTAAGTATAAAGTATGAACACTTACCAATTTTTCCAATAAGGTTATTTTGAAGATAGAGAATTTTTAAATCCCGGCACCATTTGTCAATATGTTCTAGTCTTTCTATTTCTTGCTGATGCAATGAAAGTTCCTCCAGGGAAAAAATTACACAGTCATTGTGTTCAGCATTCCGTCTAATAAGATCTTCTGTGACTGAAAGAAAATTTGCTGCATATTACATTTCTATCCCCATTGTTCATCATCTGGTTATTATGTTATTAATGTGTTAGATTTTATTCACAGCTAAATGTCAATTCTCCAAGCCCAAGTGATTTCTAAAAGGAAAGAGATCAGAAAAATGTTACCTTCCAGTTTTGTGTATGATGTGAGTCAAAGGGAAGAGACAGGCTGATGTCTTAAGTCTTGTCTATGTATGCATAAAGTCTACATACATTTTGATGAATGGAGACATTGACAGCTAATGGTATTAAGAATGCTGGTATGGACACTTATTGTGGTACCATGTCACGGTGGATGAGATCCACTATCTGATCTGAGACAGATTAACTTCCACTGGTCTGGCTGACTGAGGACAGAAATATGAAAATATCTCCTACTATTTAGTAGGGAAATTCAATTCAATTCATTTAACCAATACTTATTAACTGCAGTTTAACAGAAAAGAAAGGAATACCCTAGGTCTTGGATTACAGCCTTATAAAGCAACCAATACTTCTTCTATCTTCAGGAAGAATGAAAAAGCTTCTCATGTCAGGAGCAGAGATGAGTGTTCCCAACCTCTCGCAAGAACAGTGTACAGCACTGGGCTGCTCAGACTCAGAATATGTGATGACAATGGCACCAGGGCACAGGAGACAATATCATGGCCCACTGTTGGAGTCAGGGACATAATCATGAACCAACTTGGCAAAATGATAAATCTTTTGCAAATAAAAATGGGATCAAGAGATGGAGGGAGGAGTGGGAAGGGAAGGGGATGGTAAAGACATTAAGATGTGTTACGTACATGTATGAACTCTCCATGATGAATATCATCATTATGCATGGCAAACATGTAGTAATAAAAAACAAAATGCACTGAAATCAAAGAGGCAATGACAATGGAAAAATCCTGTCCCTTCCAGTGCTATTTGAAGGTTATTTACATATTTAAATCCACACATTTTAGGTAGAATGTGGAAATACTGCATGTCTGCTCCAGGAAATAATACTCATTCTTTGTCACTTAGGGGATGCCAGGAACTATTCTAAATGCTCAATATGCATCAAAGTACAAATATTATTTGCATTTATTAAGCAGAGTTATTATTTGCATTTATCTGATGAGGGATTGAAGCACAGAGACTTTCAGGAACTCGTCTGCGTCTTGGCAGTAAATGCTGAAGCCAGGTTTTAAATCCATAGTCTAGCACTAGACCACAAGCTCTTAACTACTGTGCTATACTACCTCAAACACAAGCAAAGGAAAGTCTCTGGAGGTTTCTCAGGCTTCCTGAATGTGCATATTCATCTGGCTGAGACAAGCTCTTTGCAGCACCTTTGGCTGCTTCTGTTTATGACACACCCTTAAAAAGGTAGCCTGCCTTTTTTCTAAATGTAAAACACGTATGAATTTGATCATTTGTGTGGAGTTAGCTGAACTCCCTGTTACTTCTGGTTGTGGGAGATAGGGTTGCTTCCAATGTCAGTTCCTTAGAAGAAAGACAAGGGGAAAGTAGAGGTCCAGAAATTAAAATACCATATGTGAGAAATATTCTTGTGCCTCTAAGCTTTGGCTCAGCCAACAGGCAGAGATGACTGCAAACCCAGCCCTGGGAAGGGGCAGGTCAAAGTGATTTAAAAGAGGTTAAAAAGGCAGCCACACCAGCCCTGGTCCTGTGATCTCTGCTGTCCCTGGAATGTCACTACTAGTTTGTAGGGCAGCTTACATAGACTGACCTCTTCAAGAAAGAGAATAAACAACTTCCTGAGAATCAAGTCTGAAAGAAACTACCCCCCACCACACACAGTGGTTTGTTCCAACATTATCAATCCACCAGTAATGAATTAGTGGGCACAGCCAATTTGAGTACAGACAAAGCTACTATGTAAACTAAAACGAATTATCTCTGGATAACTCAGCTAGAAAATATTCTCTTAACAAAGGTGCAAGATGGTTTAAAGGGGTGAGATGGCATGACCAATATTATCTGCACTATCTTAACTAAATATGAGAGTTAAAATGATGAATTAGATCCTCAACTGTGTATCTGTGACATACTTCACAAATCCACGAAGCAGGTAAGTATGCATTGGTGGCTTTGCTGCCATTAGACCTGGAGTCCATGGGGCCAGGAGGATGAGCCTATTTAGAAATTATGTGTTCCCCTCTTATGAGGTTCCCTACCCAAGAGCCTCAAGTCAGTCCCCAACCTTCTCACTGGCCATTGGCCATTTCTGTAGGTTCATTCCCCAAAACAGACTGTGACATCAGGTACAACTTCACACCAGTGTACCCAAAGAACAGTTGCTTGCCAGGGTTCTTGACCACTTGGATGTATAATCCTGGGTATCCCCCTTATACATGAGCATGGAGAGCCAGGATATAGCCAGTGATGGGAAAGGAAGTAACTGTAGGCGAGAGGATCAGCTCTCTCCAAGCCATCATGCTGTGGCATAGAATTTCTAAGAATCTGAGAAACGTATATTATATGCAGCCCTTAGAGTTGTTATGAAGGTACATTTATCAAGGGAAGAAGTTTCATTTTATTTATTTATTTATTTATTTTGGTTTTTCTCCGGTACCGGGAACTGAACTCACGACCTTGCGCTTGCCAGGCAGGCGCTTTTGCCGCTGAGCTAAATCCCCAGCCCCAAAAGTTTCATTTTATATAGCAGTTTGATTTGTAACTTGACACATATGCCATTGCTCATATTCTTGTTCCAGATCCTGTTTAAGGCTTAGTTTGGTACCCATGTTGAAGTGTACCCTACTTAACTTGAACCCCATAGGAGCTGCCATAAATGGTTAAGTCAGATGTGTTCAGGGAAATTCTTTTAGCATCTTAAGCATCACCTGGTCTCTAGCCTTCTATGGCTACATGAGCAGCAGCACAACCTACCTGACTCACGGTCTCACTAAAGGTAACTACTGACTTCTGGGAGGATGGTGGAGTGGTATGCAGCAATAAATCAGCCTCTCCAAGATTCAGAGTAACAATTGGGGAAGAAAAGAAGGCAAGAGGTGGATCCCCAGGACCCAGGAAGGATCAGAAGGGAAAACTGGAGCCTACAGAGCAATTGAAGAGATAGACCACAACACAATAAAAGGAAGGGACAATCTGCATTTTCTCCCTGGCTCATGGCTTGTGGTGAGAGAAAGGAAGATTGAATCTACAGAGACATAGTGAAAGCAGGCCACCCTAGAAGCCTTCAGGGAGAAATGCACCACTAGGATAGAGCTATGGATGCTGTGCATTACAACACCTGGTGAGTGACTCTAGTTCAAGAATCTGCCATAATTCCTGGAGAAGGTGTCTGTTTGGATGCCATTTTAGGGAGGGATTAGCTAAACCTGGGACTTAGAGCAGCCATGAGTTGGCCTTATCTCAGCATGCCCAGTGTTAAATTTCCACAGTGACTGAGTGAGGGATAACCACAGGAGATGTCCATTGTCAGGGAGCTACAGTTAGGCTGGTAAGAGACACCAAGAGTACTACAAGATAAATGACTCAGGCCCCACACCCATGACCAGAGACCAGGTTCAACATGAATTTCTGTAGATTTGAAAGTCCCAGAACTTGCATCAACCCCAACTGCCAGTTTGCTGTTGATTATGCAGCATGGATTTGGGCTCTGACTGCCTTCCTTATCTACCAGTAAGTGCAGAGTCATGCCTTGAATTGCATACTGGCACAAAACTGTAGACCACAGAAGGTAACCACAGACTAGAAATCACAGAGAAATCTCCCTTTTTCTTTTCTGGTTTTTGACTGCTCTTTTTGTTGTTTGTTTGTTTTTTTTTTTTTTTTTGTTGTGAGTGTGTGTGTGTATGTGTGTGTGTGTGTGAATTTACTACTTTGTTGGACGGTTTTGTTTAGTTCTTGTTTTTTTTTGTTTTTTTTTTTGTTTTGTTTTGTTTTTTTTTTTCATTCTTTCCTTCCCTTCTATCTTCTAAACCAGTTTGCTAAGGCTTGGGTAATCTTCCTTTGTACTTTAGCCTTACTTCTAGTCAATTTTTCTTCTTTCATTTCTCTGTTTTTTCCTCTTTTCCCCTTTAAATTTTCTCCCTGAAGATAAAATTGCTCTAGGGAGTGCTTATTTACTGTATATAATTTTCTGATTTTTCTTATATTTTGTTATATAACTACAAATTTTGTACCTAGGGGAAAGGTGGCAAATTATTAGTTATCACAGTTTGTCATTTTTCCAGCCTGTGTTTGATGCTATTGTTATTACTAATTGTACTACTTTACCCAAGGTTACACAGTGTGTGATCAATTGATCTGCATTGTATGCCAATACTTAGATTGTCTGTGGGTCATGAACAATACCACAGCCCAGTACCAAAGAATTGGGTGGTAGGCCAAATAGGCTATAACTTTTCATCCCTCATAAACAGATGAGTCAAAATCCTGCAAGAGACTCAAAGACCCAAAACCAGCTATTTCTAGAAGACATCTATGAAAAGTAATAATTTTTATGTGGTTTTGATACTAGTAATACAGCTACATACCCAATAATAATTTAGAAGCCTCAACGCAGAAATGAACAAAAAAAAGAAAAGAAAATGAGAAAACATGGAAGCAAGATGCAACCCATAATCCCCAACTTGCCCAGGCAAATCCAGGTGACACTGAGGTAGAAGAAAACAAAAGCCACTCAGCTGAACTTTCTGAAATGGTAGTAGTGGAAGTAACAAAACAGATGACTTCAATTGCCTGATGAACTGAAAATACAAACAATTGCATATATAATTAAAGAGATGATGACTATAATGAAGGGAATGGACAGTGAATCTACAGTACATACAGATTTTTTTAAAAAGGAGGCTCTAAAAAAGACAGGGAAACCATGAATGTCCAACATAGGAAAGAACATAATGCTATAAAACAGGTTCAAAAAGCTATCCAGAAGATTAAAAATTCTGTTGAAAGTATACACAGCAGAATAAGCCAATGTAAAGACAGAATATCAGCTGTAGAACAGGGAGATATGGCTGGCAATCATCAAATGAAAGACTTCCTAAAAATATCAAGGGACCATGAAAAATCAATACAATAGCTACTTAAACAATGCAAAGAAGAATTATATGGGAATAACTGGAATCAATGATAAACCAGAAGACAGCACAGGGACACAGAACAACATTTTCACAAAAGTACCAGCAGAAAATTTTCAAGCATGGAAAAAGAATTTGACAGATAGTAAGTGAGCCATGTAGAATCCCAAATAACCATAATCAGAAAAAAACTAACTACACCAAGATATATAATAGTCAAGATTCCAGAAATTTAACACAAGACCAGACTAAAGAAGCAATTAGAGAAAACCAGAAAATCACCTATAAAATAAAACCCATATGAATTATAGCAGACTTCTCAACACAAACCCTTAAGTCAAGGAAAGAATGGAGTGAAGTGTTTCACAATGCTAAGAAAACAACCTACAACCTAGATTGATGTATCTCACAAAGATATCTTTCAAAACTGATGGAGAAATAAGATACTTGCATAACAGAGAGCACCTGGAGAAGTTCATGACCACCAAATCAGCATTCTAAAAAGTTCTGAAGTAGATTGTAGAAAAAGACAATGAATTAACATAGTTGTTCTACTGTCTTCTATTTCTTTGCTGAAAGAAACTGTCAACGAGTCCTTGGTTGATCAATATTGCATGTCTCAATCTGTTTTCATGAGAAACCACTTTGAAGATATCAGTATGTAATACAACAAGCATTGTTAATTTCCTACCACTTTGTTTGTAACTCTGTATAGTCTGTACTGTTCTTTTGCTAGTTTGTAAAATGTTGCTGTCTGTTAATGTTTTCCTCCTTTTACTTTTAAAATAAAAAGATATATATATATACTTGAAGCCAATGTTCAAAAACAAAGAAAAAGACAATGAAGACAATGATTACAAGAATCCCAACAGAAGGAATCCACCAGGCAAGGTAAGCAATTAAATAGAAGGGGAAACCAAAAAGCAACAGCCAACCAAATTTAGTAGTGTAGCAAGATACAAAGTTAGCACTCAAAAATCAATAGCATTCCTGTAAATAACAAACTCACTGAGACAGAAATCAGGGAAACAACATCTTTCTCAATAGCACCAAGAAAAACAAAATACTTAGGAATCAATGTAACAAAGGAAGGAAACTTTGAAAACTACAGTACTTTGAAAAAAGACATTAAAGCAGATAGTAGAAAATGGAAAGATATCCCCTGTTCTGGGATAGGTAGAAACAATATGGTGAAAATGCCCATCTTCCAAAACTGTTATACAATCTCAATCAATACTATTTCTCACAGAACTACAGAAAACACAAATACCATTTCTCACAGAACTACAGAAAACAATCCTAAAATTATATGGAAACAGAAGAGAGCTAAAACAGCAAAAGCAATTCTGGGCAACAAAGGCAAGGCAGGGGCATCACAATCTGCAATTTGAAGTTATACTACAAAGCTACCATGATAAAAACCAGCATGGTACTGGCTAAGATACATATCTAAGGATCAGTGGAACAGAATAGAAAATGAAACAACTCGAAGCACACTCAGCTAACCTATCTTTGAAAAAGGGGCCAAACACCTTCAAAGGAAGAAAGATATCTTCTTTAATAAGTGGTGCTGGGAAAACTGCCTTGCCACATGTCAAAGACTAAACTGGACCCATCTCTCTCACCATGCACTAAACTTAAATTGAAATGGATCAAAGACCTAAATATAAAAACAGAAACAATCTGCTGGAAGATAGAAAAGGCAAAACTCTCAAAGGCCAAACCTTTATGAAAAAAAACCCTAATTGCACAGGAAATACTACAAAGAATCAACAACTGGGATCATATCAAGTTGAACAGCTTTTTCACAGTGAAATAAACCACCAACAAAGTGCAGAGACAACCCTCAGAATGGAATTTTTTTTTTACCAGCTACTCCTCAGACAAAGAACTAACATTTAGAATGTATAAGAACCCAAAAAAATCAGACCCCCTCAAAGACCCAATTAAAAATGCACATCTGAAATGAATAGGCACTTCTCAGATGAAGAAGTACAAACATCAAATAAATATATAAAAAAATGTTCAACATCACTGGTCATTTGAGATATGAAAATTAAAACAATGCTGAAATCCTATCTTTCTCTAGAAAGAATGGCTATCATCAAGAAATCAGCCAATAACAAATACTGGTGAGGCTGTAGAAGAAAAGGGTCCCTTATCCATTTGTGATTAGAGTGTAAATTGAAATAACCATCATGGAAATTAGTATAGAAAGTCCTAAGAAAAAAAATACCTAAAACTACAGGGTACATTTGACCCACCTGTGCCCCTTCTAGGTATCTTCCCAGAAGAATTAAAAGCATCATACCACAGTGATATATGCACACCCATGTTTAGAGCAGCACAATTTTTGAAAGCTAAATTTTAGCAAAGCCCATACGCCCATCAATGCATGAATGGATAATGTGGTATTTAAACACACTAGAATACTAGTCTGCTATACAGAAAAAAAATTCAGTAATTTTTAGGTAAATAGGATGTATCTCAGACCATAATGTTAAGTGAAATAAATGAGACACACAAGTTTAAATATCACATTGTTTCTTTTGTGTGACAAACCCGAAGGGTAAATAAGGAGCAAAAATCTATCTTCCCAACAGATATTGGGAAATGGGAAGAACATGTTCAATGGGGAAGAGGAATAAGTGGAAGAGGGAAGAGGAGGAAGAGAAAAGGGCTTTTAAAAATAATGGAAGAGAAAAAATGAGAACAAAACTTTTGTAAATGGGGAAGGGAATGGAATGGGAAATAAAGAATTAAGACCTATTATGTACAGACACAAATTCCCTGTGATAAGTTGGATCATTATGTATGGCAAATATGTACTAATAAAAATAAAGTTTTAAAAAAGATATCTGCAGCACTGGCCTGGTAAGTGTGAGACTCTAAGTTCAATTCCTGGTACCAAAAATGAAAAAAGATATTTATCACGGGCTTCTTCTGCTCTACAGTCTTGAAGCCTTTTCTAATTGGTTCTTGAAGATTTACAGGGTTGACGAAGTTCCTACTGGGATGAAATACCTTTCCATATTCTCCTGGTATGTCTCTCAAATTTTAAAAACTATTTTATAATGCTATTACATTGTAAAACTGACCATTTATAAGCGATTGTCATATCTTCCCTTCCAGAGGTATGTAGAAAATAAGAAGGAATTATGTCGATCAGCATTTTCTAACTATGAGAATTAAGATGATGAAAATCACTGTTAGCTTAAAGGAGATGGGGATGGATTCCCTTAGCATGAATGACTAATTCTCTCTCTCTCTCACACACACACACACACACACACACACACACACACACACACACGAGAGGGGCTCAACAGTCATTCAGCACAATAGGGGAATTGCCCAACAATAACAGTTATGCAGAATTAGGATATATTTTTTAAGTGGAGAATTACAGGTAACAACACAGAATAGTGACAGTATGAAATTTCCCAGTGTTCCTTTTCTGAATTCTTCTATAATAAGCAAACTGCTCTGTGGCATGCTGTTTTATAGCACTCAAGAAACTATACAATACTGCTCCACCTATAAAGGCAAACATCAACCAAAAACCACAGTCCTTAGGAAGAAATGAGTGAGAACATCTAGTATATGGAGATTACTATGTTTAACATTTTGAAATGGGAAAGCCTTTTGCAGTTTTACACACAGTACTATCTAATTTAAAGCAAACACTCTAACTCCAAAGAGCACTGTTCTACTTTAGAAATTCCTACTCCAAATAATGCAACACTGCACTTAAGTACACTTTTAGGAATTTAAAAATCTTTGGAAGCATTAATGTCATCATAACACTATTTCAAGTGCAATAGTATTATAATACCTATCAGATGATACAGACAGACATGCCAAGGTACTATACGAAACACTGCTTTCATTTCCTTATTTTAGAAAATTTCAAATAGTAAAGTACAAAACTCAGATGGAGTCTAAGAAGTGTCTGACCCTAGAAGGTGCTAATCAATATTTGCATGACGAGAGGAATTAGTGCTTGGTGAAAGATATGGAGAGCTCTAACCACAGGTACTATTTATCTTCACTAAAAGGTGCCACGAGGGAATTCTAAAGTTTAATTAAACTGATTCATCAGTCAAGGCTTTTTTCCAATCCCTTAACACTACTGAATAATTTGAGTATCGCTAAGATAACTGCAGGACAAAGGGCAGGAGGAAAAAGTTTCTGGGATATTAGAGGCTACCCTGCTGTTTTTACTGTAAAAAAATTTCCCCGATACTCAGCAACATCCTAGAAACTTCTAATATCAACAATTTAATATACATTCCTTCAGGGTTTTTATCAGGTTCTGGATGAAGCCATATCTTTTTCACAGAATAAACAGTCAATAGATGATGTTAGCAGACTTGGCACAATTTTCAAACATCTTTAAAGATCTAGCAGATACATATATGAAATAGAGATTCAATAGAAATAAAGGAGTCACAAACAGGTGATGTTTACCTAGTGAAGTATACGGGCTTTTTATCTTGTTACCATTATCAAAAGAAACTTTTAAGACCAGAATTACGTTGGCTCTGCCTTTTCTTACTGAGCCAGATGCATCACAATGAGCATTATTAGTAGTCATACTGTACTCTAAAACCCAGTGATACTTTTAGGGCATATTGACAGAGAATTGCTGTTTAAAATCACAAGTTGGAGCAATGACAGAAGCAGAGCAAGCATGTGATGTGTACAAAGGGAGAATGGTCAGTGTGGTTAGGTCAGGAGAGAAAGATCAGAAGAGACTTCATGGAGGACAAACCTGAGCTGAATAGTGAAATGGGAGTAGACATTTTCCAGATAAATGAGCAGAGGGCATCCCAGGCTACCTTTGATGATACAATGTGCTGCCAGCTTCTCCTCAAAACTGCAAGATTAATTCCTGTAGTTGTTGGGAGCTCTGCCAGCAGCCAACCCCAGCTGCCCACTTCTTTGGGCATTGCCTGGGCTGAAAGGTGACACCTCATTCAAGGTCATACCCTTTCCCAGGTAGGACCGTTTTCAATGACTGGTTAACGTGGGGCTGTAAAGGTCCACCCAATTTGGGCAGGTCAGAAGGTCCATTTCAAGTTCAGAGCTCCTGGTGTTGGTTAACTAAGGCCTTTGTTAACATGTACCTCTGCCCAAATCCCCACTCTGCCTAATCTTGCCTTCTTCCCTATTGATTCCCACTTCAAGAAGCTTCTCTGCTATACTTCCTGCATGCTGATCTCCATCTAAAAGTCTGCGTCCTGGAGAGCCCAGCCTGGAAGCGTTGGTACCAGAAGTGGTCCAAGCAAACAGATGCTAGTTGGGATTTGTAGCTGGATTCAAATCTGCATCTTAACCGGCAGTGTAGACACTATTGTCATTTGGTGGGACTCAGAGAGTTCTTAGCCAGATGCAGCTGTGCAACTGTTAAGACTTTCACTGGTGTTGAGCAGAGATGGGATCCCAACTGAAGGGCATACTTTAGTGAGCATGACTATCAGGTATTACAGAAATACTGGGGACCTGTAAGTTAAAGGAGAGTTGTATTGGGTGGCTATGGCTAAACACAACTCATAAGGAGTGGCTGAGATGCTACTTGGCTATTAAAAGCTAAGTGGGGCCAGCTATGGCAGTGCACCCCTATAGGTCCAGCACTTTGGGAGGAATCCAGGAGAAACAAATTCAAGCCCAGCCTGGGAAATTTAGGGACTTAGCGAGACACTGTCAAAAAAACATTGTTTGAATGGGCCTTGGGTTCAATGTTCAATACCGGAAAAAAAAAAAAAAAAGCTAAGTGTGAAAACCAGAAGAATGCACTGGTAGTATATAAAGAAAATTTTACTTTGAAACCAGAGGGTAGAGAAAGCTAAGGAATAGGACCAGACTTAATCATAACAGTAGCAGAAATTTTAGTCTCTGGACATGATGAAGTCATAGGATAGGATTTATCCTCCCAGCCAAAAAATAACTCAAATTCCAGACTAAATGCATGAAAGTAATACTTTTCGAGATACTGGACATCAGAAAATCAAAAGGAAAGTTAGTATTTTGAACATAATGAAAAAAGGAAAAACTAGAATATCAAAGTATGTGGGACGTTCGGTTCCTGGTACCGGAGGGGGGGGGGGAAAAGTATGTGGGACACAGCTAAAAGATTACTTGGAGGGACATAGATAGCATTGAATGCTAATGAGAAAAAGGAAAGATCACAAGCATCAGCTCCAGTTTAAGAAACTTGGAAAAGAACAAGTACAGCAAAAATTAGCAGAAGAAAGTAAATAATAAAGATTATAACAGAAAGCAAATAAATAGAAAGCAAAAATAAAAAAACTTAAGATTTAGGAAAATACAATGGGTAAACTTCTACCCAGATTTAACAATAAAAAAGTAAAAAGACGCAAATTGCCAATATTAGGAATTAGAAAGGTGATATGATTGTCCTATATTGACAATAAAACGACAATATAGAAATAATATAAATAGCTGGGCGTGGTGGCACACTCCTGTAATCCCAGCACTTGGGAGGCTGAGGCAGGAGGATTGCTGTGAGTTTGAGACCAGGGCTACAAAGTGAGCTCAAGGTCAGCCTGAATAGTAAGACTCTGACTCAAAAAGACCAAAAAAAAAAAAAAAAAAGAAGAAGAAGAAATAATACAAATAATTTTATGCCAATAAATTCAAGAACTTCTATTAAATGGATAAATCCCTTAAAAATGGAAACCACCACAGTTTAGTCAGGGGATGTGGATAAGACGAAGAGCCCTCTGTCCTCTAAAGTCATCGGATGTGTAGTTACAAATCTTCGCCAAAGAAAACTATGGCACACATATCACCACTGATAAATCGTACAAGTATTTCAAGAAAAATAATACGCTGTGTACACAAGGTAGGACTTCTAGAAGTTTGAAAAGATCTTAGCAAGTAAAGCACCGGGCAGAGAGACTAGTACAAAAGTGGAGAGAACCATTCTTTCCGCCTGAATCTTTCAACCGTGTCCACCCTGCCTTGGACTTATTATGGTATAATGTGGGATCCAGAGACTAAGGAATCAGTTTCCAGTACTTCCTGTAGCCTCATCTAAACAGGAATAATGATAGCAATTCCTCCTCCCCTTAGAAGGCTATTGGGAAGACTAGACAAAAGAACATTTGTAAAGCGTTTTAATCGGGCTTGGCACATAACAGATACTCGTGGGAAGAGTGCCTATTATCTTTCTGCTGCCAGGGCTTTGGTGAAGTCTAGTCTCTCCCACTCAAACTCCTACATGGCCAAGTCATGCCCATGAATAAAACCCTGTGGTTTCCCCACTGCTCTTTAGTGAATGGAAATCTTACAATTTTCTAATTTCTCAGTAAAACCTCCAAAACCTGTACGATCTGATCCTTCCCTACCCTTGTCTCCAGTCTTCCATCCCTTCTTTCTGTTATTCCCCTAGGCTCCAGGCAGTTACATCTGGCCACCAAGGGGTCCCGTGCTTTCTCAGCTCGAGGATTTCACAGGCCTCCGTTGTTTCCTTTCCAGACAATACTGATTCCTGAGAGAAGCCTCCACCTGCCCCGGGGGTCCAGGGCCCAGCCACCCCTCTCACTAGGCCTCAGGCATGACATTTGTGCTTGCCTTCCCTGCCTAGCAAGGTGGCCACCTCTGCCTTATTTACCACCGCATCCTCATGCCTGCCTCAGGACACGCACTCTCAGCCTGATAAACCAATGATTTAATAAATGAAAGTTGGGGACATTCGGAGGAAGAAAGTAAAGGTGAGTAACAGTTGGAAAAGGAAATACCAGTCCCGGGTTAAGAACGGCTTTTAGCATTTACAAATCTTTCCCTCCACTTCTCCCTTCCCCAGGCTGTCAGCAATTCCAGGTCAGAAACCCCATGGTCAGCAGGGCACCTTGCTGAAAATAACATTAACTACGGCACTCTTACAATAAGTGATTAGGAAGGACTGTACAAAATTGCCATTTGCGGAGGTTGCACCTACTCGCCTGTAAAATAAGAGAGTACACGCTTCATTTTGGGGATGAGGAAGCTAGGGCCCAAAGGTGAAATCAGGCTCGGAGTCACAGAGGCTGCAGCTGGAGGGTGACTAACTTCGCCCTCCGTCAGTGCCCTCACCTACCAGACCACACGGCCTCCCTGGATGGGTCTGGCGCGGGGCAGTGACAAGTCCAGGAGCACACAGCTGGGCAAGGAGCGCGCCGCCCTGCCCGGCCCCGGGCCCTGGCCACGCTCCAAGCCCCCGTCCGCCGCCTTTCATCAAGCCCAGTGCCCTTCTACCCCTTCTTCCCGCTCCGGTCTCACGGACGGGAACCTGGGCCTCTTCCCCACGCGAGGCTGCGGGCCAGGACCTGGCGCCGCAGGCTGCGCAGTGGGCGAGGGCCCGGCCGGGATCCGCAGGGCCGCGAGGGGACGCGGAGGTCCCGGGCTGGCAGCGAGAGTCCCCCAGGACCGGCACGAAGCCCGCGAGGGGACAAGGAGGGGAGGGTGGGGTCGCTTACTCCGGCCCATGGCACCTGTCCAGTTCGCTGCCCCTGCCTAGAAGCCGGGCCCCAGGGACTCCCTGCGCCCTCTTCCGCTACCCCTCCTCGAGTCCGCTTCGGAATCTAGGAGTCATGGCAACGGGACTCTACGGTGGCCGCGCAGGACCAGGTAACGCCGCATTTGCCGTGGTCCAGGAGAAAACTCAAGTGAGACTCTCCAGAGGGACTGCGGGTCTTCCCCAATCCAAACGTAGTCCTCCTCCGTGCGCCCGCCCTAGGCCTTCCACAGGCTGCTTCCCTCTCCCCTAATCAGTCAGTTCTCTAGCCTGAACAGAGAATCCTAGGGCACTCTTCCTGCAGGGCTCTGCCTCTGAGGTGTGTTCCCAGGGACTCTCTCTCTTTCTTTTTTCATTTTCTCCTCTGTATTTTATTTAACTCGTCCGGAGCCAAGAGACTGGGATTTAGCCTCTACTCTATTTTCTAGTTGTGCAAACTTCTTTGACCTTTATTTCCATATATGTGAGATGAATAGTATTAATAGGCTCTTTGCAAATCCTAATGATAATTTCAGTGAATAAAAGACACATTTTTTAAAAACTCAGTATAAAAGTTAGTTGCCATTGTTTGTCATCTCTTTAAAGTCACCACCCAATACCAGTCAACTGCTAGCTGCTAAATTTTCTCAAAACACCATCTATTATGTAGTCCAAATTTCCTTGCTCTCCACCCCAATTACAAGGAGTGAAAGAGTGCAGTGTGTAAAAGGTACCACCTCCCCTTCTAGCTACAGTAAACAAACGGAGGAGAGGAGGCTTCTTATCTTGATATGGGTCCTATATTTGCATCTTAAAAAGAGATTGCTAGAGCAATGCTGAGGGCAAAGAAAGGTATTACTTCAGCAGATAGCTGTTAAGCACTGTTGGCCATTATCAGGGTTTGCCAGATGAGACAGGGGCAGAGAGGGAACAAAGTCAAACAGGAAGGAGTAAAGAAGGAGCAGGGGATACTGATCAGTTTGACAGTGAGAAACCTCCTTAGAGGGATTTTTGAACAGTAAATCTGAGAGAGTAGATCAAGTTAACTACCTTAAAGACAAAAAAAATTGAGTGAGAGTGGTATCCTCATAGCAGGAGAAATATTTGGTGTT